ATCTGCTTAAGTAGAGTTTAGGGGAGAGAGGGATGAGTGAAGGTTGAAGGAGGGACTCTCAGGGGTATTCAAGGACATAGTCCTGCTTTTCATCACTGAGAAATGTGAGTAAGGTAAAAAAGACAGAGGGAGTGAGGTTGCATCCAATCAGACACTTCCAGAAAGACGCAGGCAGTTACATAATCAGAGGTTGTGAAACTCCTAGGCTGCATATCAGAGAGGACCAACATCCTGGACTTGTAAAAGTTAGCTAGAAAACAAATGACTAAAAAGACTTAAACATTATACAAAGTTCTGTGATAGCTTTTTCCCTGACAAACCTTGTTGTCACTGACAGGTTCAAGCTTTGATTCGTTCCCCTCCCATGCAAACTTCATTTGCTACTCAGTGTGTGCAGTGCATCTCTCAACACAGACGAGGAAACCTTTGAACTCCTCAGAGGGAATTAAGCAGCACATACTCTCTGCTGACTAGCTAATCTGTGACTCAGTGTGTGTCTGTCTCTCAGGCTCTCTTTCTCTGTCCTCCCCACTGAAAAAGAGGATCATAATCGTCAGCACTTCAATAGCTTGCTTATGACTTAAACCAATCTTCTTAGGACGTGCTGTATGGATATGAGATTGTACAACTGTTGGCGTCTGCCAGCCATCTGCTGCACCGCTGTGAGTTTTTGGTTCTGGGACACGTGCAAAGATTTGGGACTGCAGAAGAGGGGTTGTTTGGGTGTGAGTTTGTTGACATTCTTTTCACATCCTTGGGTCTTTTACGGCTCTCTACAGGCGCAGATTTATGGATCTGCGTCCTAATATTAAGTAGATTAATCAGGAATGGAGAGTCGAGGTTGTCATAAATATAAACGAGGTCTTTTGAGGCATAGGCTGAGACATGCTGCATGTCCACACAGTGTATGCTATTAGGAGTTTATCAGAGCAGTGGATTAAGACCAGTAACCTCAATTTAGAGGCCAGGACACACAGTCAATCTTAATGATGCATTGGAAAGGGGTTAAACCCAAAAGTAATATGGACCAGCTGGCCTGCCTACAGCACTCACTGACCCAGGGCATAATCCAATTGTCTTTCACGCCTCAGGGAGTGAGGAGTTCAGTATATTCTGTAGTTTAAGTTGGTTTGTAAAACTCTTTTTGCCCTATTTTCTGTTACTGTAACACAGACTAATACATATAAAAAGAAAAGCTGAATTGCTTGAGCAAACAATGTGCTACCTGTCAGTGTTAGCCTGGAGGATAGTGCTGGATAGCAGTCAACACATCCAGCTGATAAAGCCTGGATGCCACCTATCACTCCCCAAGGAGAGATTACCAGATGGTCCCATCAATCTCACAGCTTTCCCTGGGCCTGATGGTATATCACTTTTTGCCAGTAATCTATATTGGAGAAACAGAACGAATCTACACATTTGCACAAGCAGAAAAACCCATATTTGTGTATGCAAAAATGTACCAAATGCAGCTGTTCTGGAACATCTGTTCCATCAACGCCTGCCACATGCATAAATACTGCAGTTGCTCATTCAATGGCTGTGTTCATTTGGCTCTTAGCACAATAAATGTAAAAAAGAATCTTGTGAGTCACACTAAATTGTTACAAATTACTTATGGTGCTGTTTTCAGATGAATATATACCACAAAAGACTACCAGTGCAGAAACATTTGCTCTTGGCACCAGAGATTCTGAGGTCTTGATTGTCACTCCCTAAAATCACATTTTCATACCAGTGAGTCCAGTACATGCAGTAATCCATGCCATCACTCATGCAGCACAGCTTTAAACCAGTACGAAATCATTATATCGGAGCCACCACCATGACAACCTCACAGATAGACTGATAGGGAAAGGAAGATGGGATGAAACAGGGGAGAAAGATTGTGGAAAATTGATTTTCTTCGAGCTGCATTAATCAAATTGACTACAGAAAGGGCATTATCAGTACAATGGATTTAATACAGCGTATTAAATGAAGACAAAGGCGTGTCTGGTGAGGCGAGCTTATTTTGAGGGATGATGATGAGAATTATCAAAAGTCGATGGCATTTGGGTGACATGTATGTCAGTAAAAGTATTTGCAAAAAACTCCTAAATGCATTACTCACATTCACCCTGGTATAAATGAATAATTGTGTCGGTTGTATTTTTTATTTTTAAAAACAGTCTGTGCAAGGTTGCACTCAAATCAATGTATGCAAACTACAAGTCTGCTTGCATGTAAAAGTGTTAGTCGTACTGTATGTGAGGACACTGAACAGACAGAATGGGACAGGGAGACTTAGATTTATTCAGACAAACATTGTGGAAGTGTCACATTAAAAACAAAATGTGTTTAGCTCATAATATCAGCATTTCATTAGAATTTCAAAATTGTCTGGAAAACATATTCACTACAGAGTAGTAGTGCTACAATACAGTACAGAACTTCTCTACAGTGAGATTTCTTTACAAAGTAGTCAATAAAAGTAAGAAAAAAACAAATGTGGCCATTTAGTGTAAGATGTTTTTGTGTTTGTTTACATCCACGTGTGCTTATAGCCCCAGTTAGCATCACTTCAGTCCGACTGTGAGGTTGAGAGAAGACAAAATGAAACATAACAGCGAGGAATTTAGGTTATGTCCATTTGTTGTATTTGCCTCTTAAATGGGTAAATCAATATCTTACATTTAAAAATACAAAAGAGAAATCGATGGAAATGAGTCGGTGAAAGGAGAGCGCCTTGTAAAAGATGTCAGTGAGCTTTGGTTGGAGGTGAAGATTGAGTGAAGAAGAGACGATGGTCCATAGGAAGAGATAGATAGAGAAGGTATAAAGTGGGCAATATTGTTTCTGTTTTATTTAAGAAGCTTTTTGACTTTCTTTATGAAGCTTTTATACTTATTTATGACTTCATGATTATTTTTTTTTTTAGGAGAACTGAAATTCTACGTGACTAGCAGAAGTTGTAGTTTACCATCCCTCGTAGCTACTATTATATTTAAATACCGGCAATATTGTTGCCATTAATCAGCTAATTTATGACGGGAACAAACGATTCATTTTTGTAGCAGGCTATTCCTCTAATTTGATTAAACAAGCATGCTTGAAGAGGGCCTGTGTTTATATAGTGCTTTATAAGCATATATAAGCACTACAATTTGCCTCTCATTCAACCATTCAATCACCCATTCCCACAATGGGAAACCCTAGCCATTTGCAGCAATTTGGGTTTTAGTATCTTGCTCAAGGACACTTTGTCTCAACATGTCGTTCAGGAGAAAACAGAAATTGAACCACTAACCCTGCAATTAGTGAACAACCCACTGCTAACAGTAATTCGACTCAAACAAATATTTCAATACTTTTTCAGCCAGTATTAATAATGATGAGATACTGATTCAAATGCATCTATTAGCAGACACATCACTGTGAACTTAACATGAACTTAGAAACAAAGACACTGCTAAAGATGGTGCTTTTTCTTTAATGAAAGATAAACCATGGCCTATAAAATAAATTGTTTATTAGAGTGGAAGAGAATAAACACTTGTGTACTGAATTAGATACAAGCTTAATACAATGCTTTTTACAACCAACAGAGATGAATGTTGTTATTCACCTGAGCGAAATGTGAAAATATGATTAAGACTCTTTTAGCACATCAGGAGGAGCAGACTCCAGAGAGATGTGAACTTGTTCAGTTAAACAAGTATCAGACTTCTTCAAACAATCCTTGTTACTCTTTCAGATTCTCTTCTGTCACTTGTGATGCTTAATGATTTTGTGTCTCTATATCCAAAAACGACAGCTAAACACACTGTTATTTCTCTTCTTTTTAAGGTTTTTAAAGAGGTCAAATTTGGTGATTTATAAAGACTTCAGCCAGGGCGTAAATTGGGGTTATTTTGACTTTGTCGAATATTTCTCACAACGCAATAAAGGTAGCAACATATATCGGTCAAGACATACACCATGAGCTTTGGACAAAAAGAAGCACCATATGATGCACTGTGAGCCACAATCGACTGAAGCAGCAAAAATATCAACATGATCACCATCAATTATTATCCTTCTGTGTTGTGCAAGATGTATGTACAACTTCACCTGACCATGCAAATGTAAAGAAAGTGCATCTTAAATCTTTCTGTTTCTCCATCATTCAAGATCCCAAATATGAGAAAATCATGCATCTCTGAGCCTGGGAGTATGACAGTGATGCATCTACACTGTAGACCCCTAAAAGGAGGCCAGTGGTGAACATACAGTAGCCTATGTACAGTAAGATAATATCTTGGCCTAACTATAACACAGACATAGAGAGGAAACAGAAAAAAATGATAAATAAAGGCAGAGCGGTAAAAGTGTCCATGTCACATCATATTTTATGTTATAGCAGGGTTGAGAGGTAACAGACAGCAGTTTCTGTTGGAACATAACATAGGCTGTTCTGTAATTATTTAGCACCCTTACGTTTGTGGACCCACTGAAATGGCTTCAACTCTGCGCTGAGAGAACACAGGTCCCTGTTTGGCTGATATCAGAGTCCATAGGGCAGAGATACCAAAAATATTCAGTTTCATCCTTCCTCTCCAGGTCTTCATTGTCCTCAATGGCTCCTCGGGTGTGGGTCAGGCTCATTTCTGATTGCCTCACTCATTCTGAGATGACTTCTTTTCTTGGTCAGCATGGAGAATGTCATTGTGCCCGCTGTTCCAATCATTGTGTGTTATGTGATGTTGATATCTGTCTATGTCTGATGTGACTGATACTGTTGCATTGAGCTTACCTACCATGCTCAGACACAAAAAGAAAACCAAACAAACCCCCACACGTACAGGAGTAGAGAAAATAACAGAAACACCTAAGAATTAAATGCAATACAACATAAAAGAACTGCAAATATCTATAGTCTTAAAATATCAACTTCTATGACATAATGAAAAGAAAAACATTAGAATTCTTCTAGGCTATTATGTATTAAATTGCATTATAGTGTAAAGTATTCCCATGGTTTTGTTTACCCCAGAGATATTTTTCTATTAATAAAAGATTTAATATACTTTAAGGCCTGAACTGTAACTGTAAATTAGCATATTGCTAAACAAGCGAATCCCCACTATATATATACTTTATATATTTAACACTGAATCCAACTACTCCTTGTAATGTGCAGCCAGTCTCACAGTTTCCCTAGCACAATGTCCCCACAGTTAAAAACCCAATTCTCCCACCCACAAGCAGATTAAATGCTAGGTACACAGCATGACACTGTGAAGAAGCAGAGTAAATGTATGGCTAGCAGATAAAAGTTCATTTAGGCAAAAAGACCCTGTTTTCTTTTCAGAAGTTGACAGATAAAATATTGGAAAAACTCACTGAACTTACATTCAAAAATGTTTGCATGACATGACCAAGATCTAGTTCATGTACAGTATACTGTACATAGGATCGTTCTTGTGAGTTTGTTTCGCAGTCTTTGGGGCCTTTTCGTGGTCTAAAATGCTTAGGAGACCTTTAAATAGTCAGTGTCCTCTGTGCCACCCACATATTACTTTGTGACATGCCTTTAAAAGAGAGTTCACTTGTAACCGTGATGTTCACTATGTTTCAGTGTAATGTTTAAAGAGAAGCTCTGCAGGCTGTCTCCAGCAGTCCAGATTACACAAGCAGAAAGATGACAGTCTCACAGCACTCTACCTAGTTCAAAGAGCTAACTCTGAGAGAGACCGACATATTTTGCGTAGACAGGAGTATTCCCAGAATCCAACAGTTGATTTGTTAATTCACTGATAATACTGTATGTTTATTTTTAAGGCACAGGAAAAGTGGTGTTTTTTTTTCGATTTGATGATTGCACATTTGAATAATATATCACATAATTTGATTTAAAAAACAACAAATATATGACAAATCATCTTTGCATCTTTAAACAAATCTGTGAGTTTTATATTCTGTGATCTTTTTGTTACACTAAGCTCAATTCAGTCTTGTAGCCTTGCTCGTTTTCTGGATTCATTCAGTTCTGTTGGTGTCATTTGTCCACACACCAACATTGGCAGGTGCTGCAGTGACACTGGGTTGGCTTGAAGTAGCCCTCTTCAGCACAACTGGGAATATAGGAGTCTATAGACACAGAGGAGGGGAAAAGGAAGAGAGAAACAAGAACATGAAAGGGAGGAATGTTTAGCATATTGAACAGTGAAAACAACTGACCAGAATCACACATGCCTCTCTCTCCTCTACCTGTGGCCAAAGGTATCATACCCAGTCATCACTTATCACTGTGAAAGCTGTAACACAACAGGAATGCCAACTTGAAGGCAGCCACAGTCATCTTCAATGATATCTACACATTTACACTCACACAAAGACCATTTCTCAAAAATGAGGAATGAGGAGAAAGACTGATATGCTCAGTAATAAATGACTGAATGATAGAACCTGTGATAAAGATGTCAAATGCATATGAATTGCTGATTCCTTTAAATCTAAGAAATAAGAACCGGTAAATATATAGTGTTATTAGCATCCTAGGTGTCCTTTGACAGGGGCAAGTGACTGACAGCTGTCCCTCAGCTAAACTGACCTGTGGGCCTCATCCTTTGAGTCAAGATATTTTTTATCACTTTGGCAAGATAATCTCACAAACACAGAATGATACAGTTTTACCAAGCAGCTTAACAAAACACTGTTTTATTAGCAAACACACACAAGATATTAAGATTTTCACTTTTTTGTCCAATCTTTGCACAATTTTAGGGTGAGGAAATGTGTGTAAGTTACATTTTGTGAACTATCATGCTTGCAAACTTCACTGTTCAATGCACATTCACTACTACATCTTTCATTTCTTCCCTTTATAATACCTACCTGCAAGTCATCATTCCCTCTGTCAGACTTCATCAGCCCCCCCTTACAAGCAGTAGCACCACTCATTGTTAGACAGACAACGGAGGCCTAGGAGAGGGTCTTCATGCACTCAGCTGTGATTGATCCAGCAGGATGTCAAAGTTCATGTCTAGCTTGTTGAACATCCAACCGAGTGAGTTCTTACAGATGGAAAAGATTCTCAAAATCTTTTACTAGTAGTCGGTGATGCCTCCTCTCCTGTAGCCTGTCATACCTGTCCTGTGTTTTCCCATGTTGTTCTGTGTATAGATGCTGCCACTGGGACATATTATACATAAACACAGAATTCAGTATCACTGTTATGCAGATGACACACAAATTTATGTTGCATTGAAAACCAGAAGAATAAGAGGGCAATTTTCATCAGTTATTATCTTGTCTGTCAGTGCTGAATGTCCCCAATCCTTCTCCAGCTTAACCAAAACAAGTCTGAAATCATTCTTTTTGGTCCTCCAAGGTCTATACCAATTTTACAAAAACATCTTGGCGCCCTGTCTACAAATGTCAAACCTGCAGCCCAAAACCTGGGTGTAATATTTGACAGTGACCTTTCATTTGAAACACAAGTTACAAAAGTCGAAACAATCAGGCATTTTCTCACTCAGACTGATCTTGAGAAGGTCATACATGTTTTTAATCCTGGTTAGAATCCTGCAATTCATTCTTTTCAGGGTTAAACCAAGAAGCGATCTCAAGGCTACAGGTAGCACACAGCACAGCTACTTGGCTTTTAACAAATACTTGAAGACAAGATCATATCAGTCCTGTTTTAGCCTCTCTGCTTACCAGTAAGATTTAACTGATTACATTTCAAGCACTAGCTCCCACTTATATTACTGAATTGCTGCTCCCCTGTGAGCCAAAGTGCAGTCTCAGATCCTCAGGCAGGGCTCTGCTGGCTGTTCCTAAGTCCCAGCGTAAGACTAAATGTGACCAGGCTTTTAGAAACTCCCTACCTAAAGATTTGAGCTTGCACACTGTTTCATGTCCACCAGGTCTTATTTGTTGTTGTTTTTGCCTCATTGCGGTCCTGACTTGTTTTAACTCTGGTTAAACCATGTAAAGCACGTGTTTTTGAAAAGAACTGTAGTAATAAAGTTTATCATTATTATTTTTTAATGTATTATAATGTTATTGTAATGTCTTCTGTTGTTGTAAAGTAGATTTTACAAATTAAGCAGAACTTTGCACCAGGATATTGGCTTTTTCACAAAACAGTTTTCAGGCTTGTATTGATTTGATCTTTTAGTGACTCACATTTTGCGTAATAGCACATTAGAGTTATGCAGTAGGGGGTGTGTCACCAACAATCAAGCAGAGCATTTAGGTGACACATATTGCCAAAACTGCATTTGCTTAAATCAGGTCAAAGAAACATGACATAGTATGCAGTGGTGTTTTGTGCGGTCTCCATGGATTCCAGTTCAGAAAAAAAAACAAAAACAGCTTTTTTCAGTGACGGCTGGTGGAGATTTTGGGTGGGTGGGCTAACAAATGCATTACACTCATCAATATATCACACAGCAGCAACAGCAGCATCACATCAAGTTACGGCAACAACATTGTATACTTTGTTATAGCAAGGGCTCTACGGCAACACTGGGGAGACATAGCTACCCAAAAGAATGGCCTGATGATGAAGTACCAGCAACAATTTGCAACACCATGTACCAGAAATAAATCTATAAAACCAAAGCAAAAATAATTATTTATAGAAGAGAGAGTTGTTTCAGAGCTTGGGCATACCTTATTTAAAACGCCACTCACATCGACGGCCTTTCTGTGACGCAAACAAGTTAATCACCATGTCAAACTCCACACTGCTGTACCTCACCATCAGCTCACCTTTCAGTTTCTTCCTGCAGATCATTGGGTAATGTGCACATGCAAAGACAACTGGCTTTCTCTAAGCGAGCCTTTGACTTCTCGACCATTAAGTCACAGCATTTTGCAGCTACTGACACATTATCACAGCGCCGCATCCTGTGCAGCGTTACAGCAGCTGCAGCTGTGTCCGCATCTGGATGTGGCTGATTGTCATCTGTGATCAGCAGTTCAGATATGAAGCACGAAAAAGGCCCTGTCTCGTTTTGAGAGAATCTGTGGTCTTAGACGTGTACTTTGCAACCTGTGTGTTTGACAGGTGATCGGCTAATTGACTGTCTAAAAAAGAGAACTGGTCGCTGCTGGAGTGAAGTGGGAGATTCGCCGAGCCCCCGCAGGGCGAGCTTGTGTCCCCACAAAATGTAATACAGTCCACGGTCCACGATAGTGAATGCCTGTTTTTTCTTTACCAGCTCCTTGTGTCTCTGTACAGGATGCGGTGACCCTCATTAAGCTGACAGGTGATGTTCACTTTACCCAGCAATGACAGCTTTACGCTATTTCCAATGTGGCTCGTGCTGCATTCATGTTTCCTAATTTTGTCAGATAAATATTTTATATCCACAATTCCTTGTTGGGTCCAAGTCGTGTCTCCTCCAAAAAGCAAACATGGGAAACAGAAAAGTGAATTCCTAGCTACACTTGCTGTTAGCCAATCCGTTAGCTGAAACCACGTAACACTAAATTATGATTTTGTCGTTTGTCTTTTGTGTTATTTAAACATTGTTTGGATGATGTGTTCCCAATCTCTGTACTTCCAATTTTTCCTCCAAAGACTTTAAAGAAAATTTAATTTTTTGATTAGAAAGTAAATAATCCACCTCGTTCATGTTCATGCTAACGCCCGCCATACTACAAACTAGCCTCACTGTACTGTAGCTACTGCGCTGTGATTGGTCGAAAGGGCGTGTCAGGACACCTGTCAATCAAAAGTCAATGGACGCTTACGCTACTGAGCTTGGGCTGAATGAATTTCTACCAAAATTCGAAACAATATGTTCTAAGGTTTTTAATAATAGTTTTTCATCTTTACTGTAACAGATAGGGGAGGCTTAGCCCTGTTAGCCCATATATACCAGCCACCCCTGGCTTTTTTACCAAAGTTTAAAAGAACATTTTGGTCAGTTAAGGATATAGGTACAAAATAGGACTTACAACACAGGGTGCCATAATGTACTTTTATATTGCCCCAGAAAAGCTTTAAGTACTTAAGTACATATATTAGTTTATAATCACCTGAAAATAACAATTGTTGTGTTTTCATTTAGAATAGAGTTACCTCCATGTTGAACCTCCATATTTCTACAGTAGACCTGAATGGAAAAATAAAATACTGGCTCTCGAAACAGCCTTCAGATTTCTCGGCCACAACAGTTTTTCCTACATGCTCGGAAGGCTGAGCTGTATTTCAATGGTTGTAATCTGCAATTTCACCGCTACATGCCTCTGAATCCTACACACTGCTTTTTTTTTAATTGACCTAAATGGAATAGAGAGCTCAATGTAACAACCATTTTGTTTTTCATTCTTCTGCACTGGACAGTGCTTGATGAAACAGTAGTTTGGTGCTTAAAGTTAATTAATTTATTAACGACACAGCGAGACCAATATTAACATCACCTCATTCCGACTGAAAAGAGCAAGTGGCGTTATGTTCGATGTTGATTCTCAACAGATACAATAGCATAGAGAGACAAAAAACACAAATCTCTCTAGGTCATGCCATCTCACACGCATGCACAGAGGGGATACATATTTATCTTCTTCTTTGTTACTTTCATTTTCTCACCAATCTCTCTTTTCTATGTAACAAAGAAAAAACGATTTGTTGCAAAGTACTGACTGTTACCATAGGAACACAATCTCATAATTAAATCTGACCTGCATATTTAGATTGTGTGTGTCTGTGTGTGATAGTCTCCTTTGATCGACAACACTAATTAATACACAGAGATGGCAGCATGTGAATAAAACACAGGATTCACTCTAGGAAGGGAGATGTGACGTGTGTGTCTGAAACACAGTAACACTTTCATAGCTTTTCTTCAGCTGGGTTGTCACAGGTGAGAGAAACCATGCAAGGAGAAGTGAGGATCCTAGTTTATTATTGAAACACTTCATACTTTCCTGAGAAATATGATTAAACAAGAAGTGGATTTGATAAGAACAATCAGAATTAATAAAATCCTAACTGACCCTGCAGTAATATACTCTCTGCTGCTCAACAGAAGCCATTTATCTCAAAACACGATGTAAGTAGAAACATCTACCAAAGTCATTTTCTCCTGACTGAAAAACTGATGTACGTGTGTTCACTTTAATATTCCCTTTTGCTCTTTTTCCATTTTCTCCTTCTGACAGTCTTTGGTGTTTGGACACAAACTTAATTTGTTCACTTTGACACTCCCTCTGCTCTTTCTTCCTCTGACTCTCCTGCTTCTCCCTCTCTCCATCTTTGCCTCTCCACTCTCTTTAGACTTTGCACTGTGGCCCGTGACGAGTCTTGAAGGAACCCTCTTTTCTGTTTCACTTGACGTGACCCAAATTGTTTTGGACAGGAACGGCGCTGCTGCCTGTGATGGAAGTCCTTTTGCCGGGCAGTGAGTCAGAAAGCTGGAGCAGAAAACATTTGTGCACTGGGAGGCACACATACAAAGGGACAAGATACACAGAGACAACGTGTCCTGTTAACTGTTTCTTTCAGCAGCACAGCAGGGTCGGGCCGGCTTTAAGATGTCAGAGTCAGACACAACTGACATCAAAGTTGTTCCACGGGGAATACAAGGAGAACACTTGTACATTCAGAGCACAAGGGGGCTTAGTGGTTAAGAGAGACCTTCAGTAGAGGCCCCTCTGAGGAGAGGCATTCACCCTGCTGAAGTCATCTTGAATGAGAAACGGTGTGCCAAGCAGCCCTGAGGGGCCTAGACTGTGGCTGATCCTGCACACTTTGAGATGATGAAGCAGAAAAAAGTTCTGCACATGGATCGATACATGGATCGATATATATATATATATATATATATAGATAGATAGATAGATAGATAGATAGACTCTACTACAATAAAACAGTTAATAAGAGAGGAGAGGAAAGAAAGTAGAAAAAGTAATAATAGTAAGAAATCCCAAAAAAAAAAAAAAAAAGAGAAAAGAGAAGCAAAGTGCCTGTTGGGCAGCTTTTTTTTGACCTTGTACAATTTCTTTTTCACTTAGGGCTGGAAAAAGACACAAGCTGTAACTGGAGGGCAAGGACACACAGGCTTCTGTAGAACTGTTTATTATGAAGAAACACAACACCATACCTCATCTATAGTGAAAGTGGCCAGAAGAATATTAGATTTTTTAGGCTAATGTTGATTTTTGAGTATTTGCTTTTCAACGTTAAACAAACATTTCTAATAATGATTTGCAGTAAAGCAGAAGACAAACAGAGAGCAAACATATGTTAAAGAGCTTTTGTAAAACAGGACAAGAGAGAGATGAGTAATTCATCTTTGCAGTCAAGATGTGTAGGTCATCTATCTGCGCTTTATGCAAAAGTGTCACCATCAAATATAAGAATGGAGCAGAGGAAAGGAGAGGGGGTGATGACATGGAGATGGATAGAGCAATAGAGGGAAAGAGGGAGAGGAAAATGGGTGAGATTTAATCAACCATGGACACAGAGAGAAGTGCTGGGAATCTGATTCCAGCTAGGCTTATTGATTCTGTTTCTTTAAACATCCTTCAATTATTGTCAAATTATTTGAGCATAAAAGAAAACCAAAATATGCTAAAGCAAAAAATACTGTAATTTCCTGCAGATTTAGGCTTTTTTGTCATCTGTTATAAATGATACAGAACAATATAAATGCTCTCTATCTTGCCATGCACATGTTGAATGTTCAACCAGTATTAGTGGGCATTGGGGCATTTCAGCTATGACAAGTGAAATCAAAACTGCAGCAAACGCTTCATCATATTAAGACAAAATCATCTTTGTTCAGTGACACTTTTCTGTAGTCCAGTCGACAATAGTGTCAACACTATATGTTTGTTTATGCATGTGCAACTGGTGATTTAGAAAAGGCATAGTAAGTCCAACCTTCATGTTCAAGACCTGATTAGCAGAATCACAAAGCTTGTTTCTTAATTAAGGTGCATTAAAAAACATCAACACAAGCTGACAGGTACACCGCTGCCATATCTCACTGACTGACAAAGATATTATGGCAAACATGTTAGCAAACAGTTGCCTACTTACAGACACATACCAACATTAGCATTTCTTTTGAGTCATGTTTCTGTCCACCTGATCCGTTTAAGTCCAACATTCACTGCATTTTGATTTAAATTAAATGTGACTAGATAGATGATAGGAGGGGTAGAAAGTGGGGAGGAAGTAGACATGGAGAAAGAGAGGAAGGCCATATATGGACTACATACGGACTGAGTAGTGAGGGTGTTTGTGTGTGTGGAGGCTTTTATTTGTGTGTCTCAGGCTTCACATAAAGCCAGAAGGAAGCTGTAGTAAACAGTCAGGCCGGAAGGCTGTGTGTTTCTCATCAAACGCACACTATTGATCTGAGCCACAAGTCAGATATCAAACACAGGATCATGACTGGGAATTACCCTCCTGCCTTTCCTTTCGTCTTTCTTCCCTCCATCTCCCTCACTCCTCTGTGTTTCATGCAGTATTTGTTAACTCAGATCAATGGGGAATGGAAACACAATAGCCATATGTTTCTCGCTCACTCACACATAAATAGACACACAGACACACGCTCATATATTGCTTTTGGTCACTTCTGAGGACACTGTATTGACTCACATGCATTCACTGGAGGCTAAACTAACTGCAACACAACTCCAGTAAAGAAAGAAACAACCCAAACCAGGTTATACAGTAACTACCTATAACAAAACATTCAATCACAAAATATAAATTAGAAATTACCTAACCTGATAGGCTCCAATATAAGTATGAGCCAATCAGGGCATTTGTTTTACTTCATCAGTGTATCACTGATAACACTAACACTTCTCCAGATTAGGTCAAACACCTAAGAAAAACAGTGAATGAGAACTATAAAATTCCACAATTATATTGTCCAAAAAGAAAAATTTACCACTTCTGAGTTGTGTTTTATATTCTTGTGCTACTGAATGCCTAAATTTCCCTCAGGATCAATAAAGTATCTATCTATCTATTAGGCAGCCATGTAGACAACATTAGACACAGAGAAGACCAGTGACATTCTTTTATTCAGTGCACTACAAATGTAATGCAATGCAAAAAGCAAGATGGACTACTTTAGAATGTAATTTAACAGTATAATTCCCATTTCAAGTAAGTGAGGGGTAAAAAATGGTTTGGATCGTTAGAGAAAAAAATCCAATTACACAATCCCTCCAAGAAGAATAATGAATAAGTGAGACTGTATGTAAATTCTGCCTGTGAGGAGTTGCTGACACGTTTAATATACACAAACATGCTGTACAAAGGCCTCCTCGAAAGGGTACATTTCAGTTCCAAAAATCCTAATTCAAAAACATAATTTGTACCCCTTCACCACTTTGTTGTGCTTGCTAAGGTTGCTTAATGAAATTTGTTGTTTGCGCTCTTTATGGCATATTGAATTATCTGTGTAGGAAGGGAGGTGAGAGAGAGAAAACCTGGAAGACAGATGACCTCTGCCAGTCAGCATACATAAACTCTCTCTGTGGGTTAATTTTGTATTAATGAAATACATTTTTAAACACCAATTTATTTCATGTGAAACCAGAGAAGTGGGGAAGAGAGAAAAGGAGAGGACACAGTACCCCACATCTTTCCTTACTCTATACATGCCAACTATATATGTGTGTGTGTGTGTGTGTGTCACAATGAAGGTGACAAGGCAGGAAGGGCAGTGACAGCAGTGAACACCACAGAAGTGAGACCAAAGAATGAAGAGGACAATTGGTTTAATAACAGATCTGCTATTCCAGAGTCTTTTATGGTGGAAACATAAACATTTTCATTTTTAAATAACATTTCTGACAAAATATTAGGGTTAGGGTTAGAGTGCTTTAAGCTTGCATTGTTTCATGGGCACCAGCTGCTGGTCTTAGTCTACCTTTTCTGGGTTTCACCACAGAGAGAGAAACAGTGGGGTTGACTAAGCAACAACAACCAGGGTCGGACTAGATGCTGTCACTAATAAAGTTTTTCATATATACGCATAGTCAAAGAGCTGCTACTCTATTGTGGAACTGTGTGTCTGCAACATCATGTTAGTCTTCGCTAGGTATATTTTAAACATTCTGTATTTTCTCCATTTAAACATGCACTGGATATTTTTGACCACTAGGGGGGCAAAAGAATAAGAAAACAATACTGCTTAATGTAGCTTTAAAAGCACAATCCATGCATAAATGCAAATAAAACTGCTGTTCTATTGCCAAACTTTAAAAACACAGAATTGAATGCCTTTACTCCATTGCTTGACAATAAAATAAATAACCTTTTTAATTATCAATTTAAAAAAAAGCTAATTCTTCATACTCAAATATAGTTTATTTTTAGATCTTTCCATAATGCCTCAATAATAATTTATTATCATACTAGCTGTGTTTTTCTGACCTAACAATGAGTTTGGACATGTAGTTTCTTTAACATCATCATACATCATGTGCTGATGTTACCTGTGGGTTGGCTGCTTGTGAGTGATGCAGATGGTCTAGTCGTCACGGATGACACAAACCTTGTGAGGAGGATGACGACCTTCAGACAGGATCTACAGATGATGAGATGCCAGAGTAAAACTAGACAAGTCTAATTTACAAAATATATAAACAAAACCAAACCATCATATGCAAACCACACAAACCATTCAAATACTGTTACTATGTGGATTGTTTGTTTCAACTCTGGTGTCAGCATGTCAGGATACATATCAAGAGCTGACATGGAGGAGCTAATATAGCAAAACAAGGTGAAGTTGTAAAGAACAATAAAACATAAAGAACCAAAAGTAGATGTGATATAATAAGAATAATGAAATCTACAATCTTTTTCTGCAGTGTAAGAAATTTAATGACAACTTGTTATGGAACCTCAACATCATCTTTATGTCTCTACGGTGATGTTATCATTGTGGCATCGAGTCACAGCTGGCTGGCGTTCAAGGTGACAGAGATCAAAGCAGCTCACTGACTCCGACCATTATGTCATTTCACACTAGGCTAACAGCACAAACCCACTTTCAGGTGACAGACAGAAGAACAAAAAACTAATGAAGGTGGATGAAGTTATAGAAAGAGACAGTGACAGTGTAAAACAGAGACAAGACGGGTTAAAAAGAGATGTAGTTGTTACAATGCACTAAACCCTGAGTGTAACAGCTACAAGAGAGGAAGCAAAGGTACGGCACTGGATATTAGGACAGTGGTGTAAACTGTGGCAGGTGACATCTTACAACTTGTGTGGATTTACAAAGAAAGTAACAGAGGAGCCACCACCTTAATGCATGTGGTACGTACTGTATATAATACTTACAGTAAAAGCCACTGTGTACAAGTCATTAGCATGTGGCTGCAAACTTCAGAAGAAGAGAGCAAGCAGCCCTGTCTCCATTAGGGGCCTAATGGGTTGTTTCTGAGCCACAGCTGGCGTCCCCCCCCCCAAACCAAATCTTAACCTGGTTAAATGAATAAAATAAACATGCATGATTAAGTAAAAGCTTGTACGTGCATTTCTACATCACAGCCTTGCATTACTCAGGCTAGAGTGTCTATTTCTGGTCAGTAGGTATTGGGTTTTGGGACTCTAAAAAATAGATTACTATTGCAGAATAAAGATGGAAAAAAACCTAGGAAGTGACAGAAGGAAAATGAAACCCACACACATACAATAAAGTTGTCAAAACTTATTTATGTACAACCAAAGAAACTGATCCATTGGGAAGGAACATTTCCTTTCTCCATGTGACAAACGGTGTTGGTTGTAGGAAGTCAACACTTCACACAAGCAATACTCATCACATTTTCCAGAAAGTGGCAGAGTGATGTTTCAAACTTTTCTCCTGATGTTTTGTTTTTTTTTTAATTGGGAGTCTTGCTTCAGTTTCATATATCAGTGCTTGAGGTACCCTGTCTGACTTATAGTCAATTCAAAATGACAGTTTCACTGTGAGGAAATGATAACAGGGATTAGAGGACAAGAGAAAGAGCTATAAAGGAGATTTAAGATGAGTAAGTGAGTGTATGGACCCCTACAATCACACAGACCAACAAAATATCAAAATAATCGAAAGAGATTCAGTAAAATGTCTAAATGCTAAATATTCCTTATGTCATGGATTGAATGATGTTTGAATACATGCAGTGAATAAAGTAAGCTAGGAAAAGTCCAATAATCAGTAAAGGGAGGCTGAGAAGAGAAATAACTGAACCACAAAAGTGGTGAGAAAAGAAAGATGTAGTGACAGAAGAGAAGAACAGGAAAGGTCATGAGAATAGATAGGGGTAGGGAGGAGGAGATAAAAGAAGTGGTCCTGAAGAATGATAACTATGATGGAGGACATTTTGATCAATTTAAACTCAATTATAATGCAGGAATCACTCCACGTTGCACTTACTACATTTTATGTTATCCCTTCTTCACCTTCATCTTCCAATTCTCAATTTATGTTTCTTCCATTTGTTTCTTTTCTTTTGTTCTTATTAAAAAATGATTGGCACTGGCAAATGTGGTTGCATAACAGATTTCAGGTAATATATTTCAGGACAATGGTGGTTCGTGTTACAATTCTGCTCAGGGTTTCAATGAAACAGGACGCTGCTGCTGATAAATGAGAATAAAGCTGCAATATAAAAGAAGTGAAAAGGATGTGTGTGTGAAAATGAGTATGATGGCTTTTCTCTGCTTTTGGTAGTGAAATACGGTGAAAATTTTTTTTTCTTCCAAGTATTCAATTTAAGTGCTGGTAATTCAAACAGTGCTCCTCCCAAAGGCAAAGCTGCAGCAAACAGCTTCTCCTGACCCCTCTGCTGAAGCATCCATCCTATCTTCTCAAACAGCCAAATTTTAACAGGTAACTTAAGAGACACCGTATGTGATGTTTATCTGCACTGCAGGGAGAAGCTTGGCTCCTATTTGGCTATCATTTCAGATGTTGCTCTCTCCTGTGGTGGCTCTCTCTTTTATAAATACCATAAATCCTTCTCTGCCAAAGCTGCCATGCATGTCCAGAAATTCAATCAGAGACTAGATTGGTCTTCAGTCGATCTGGGGCGCGGCTGTGTGTTCAGGAGGTAGAGCAGGTCATCCACTAATCAGAAGGATAGCGACTGGATCCCCGAAGTTTTGTTGAGCAAGATAATGAACCCTCACTGCTCCCAATACTGTGCATCAGTGTGTGAATGAGTTACATTTTGCCTTTGCCATCAATGTATGAATGTGTGTGAATGGGCGAATGTGGCATGTAGTGTAAAGCGCTGTGTGTAATTGGAAGACTATAAAGGCGCTATACAAGTACAGTCCATTACCCCTAATCAGCAGATATTTTACCGGCCATAACACCCTATCTTGCTCCATCTGCAGTTAACTTCTCCCACACAACCTCCCTCAGGCGAACTGCTCTTCAAGAACTGTCCACCTCAAAATCTCAGCCTCAGCCAAAAAATCCTGTGCAAACTTCTGTAAGCCATCCTCCAAAGCGACAGGTCCAATTTCCTTGAGGATATAAGTCACCTATCTGCATTAATTTCAGTGAGAATGTCTGTACATTTCCTTATTGTAAATGTATCATGCATGTGTGCAGTTGGTAGGCAGATAGCCACCCACACTGTGTGTGTAACATGAGGCTCCATCCTGCACAAAATCAGGGAAATAAACACAAAGTATCGTTCGACTCCAGTGAATGTCCCAGCTCACTCTGTCCAATCACCCTAATAGATGCTCTGTTAATTACCTTATTACTGGCTTAGTTCAAGGATTCCTAGCAGTTCTATTCTGGCTCCCACAAGTGACCCATTTCTGTGAAAACATGCAGTCTGCCTGTAGCATTCCCGGCTGAATGATTGTCTAGTCTTTAACTGATGGTTCACAATGTATTTATTGATGAGCAAAAATGACGACACTGTAGCTCCCTTAAACCTTGAATACATCTGGAACACACTGTAAGAGCTACAGATAGAAACAAAAGTGAAATATTAATCTTCTTTTATATTCTGATGACAAACCTATTGTACAATAACTTTACAATATTTAATGAATTAATCCAAAACCATGTCATTTTAACTTCTGATAGAAAATCAATCACAATATTCAAATCATTAAATATCACCTTTTTAACACCCTTTAGCTTAGTGACGATCTCTGATAGAGTGCTATAAGTAAATATATTTAACATAAAACATTCAATTTTATGTCACATATGCAGCCTTAATGTTGTATATTGTGGCTACTGTAAACACACAATGCTGCATTTATTTATACAATACTAGCAAGCAAACTCCATCGTGATAATGGCTCCTTAAGACCGAAAGAGTTGTCTCAAATGAGCTGATATAGCAGTCTGGCTAGCGTAAATGTACTAGCTTAAAACTCAAACAATATGACTTAACATTAAACACCATATAAAACAAAATCATAACAAACCTTGTGCAAACTTGTACCTCTGTTACATTTACATTTGGATGTCGCAGTAGCCATGGAGGTTCTGACACCTTGTCAGAAGCATTATGCTGGATTCTCTACAACTCCCTTTTGTCTTCATCATCCCTCCATCTTTCATCTCACTGCATCTCCACAGTCCTTTTCCATTTCCATGAGTTAAGTGTGCCTCTTTCTGAAGAGAAAGCCGTGGTTCCTTCAATGCATTTGGAATTTCTCAACATAACCCTTGATAGTATGCTTATGCAAGCGTCATTGCCAGAACTGCTATTAAATCCTGGTCTGCTGCTGCCATTCTCTCTAAAAGAGCTCTTTCATGTCTCTCTGCTATGCACATGTTGGGGATTAAAAATGGTTTAAAGGGGCACCAAACTGTGTGGGTGCAATCAATTCATTTTGGATATCAAAATGATCAAAGATAATAATAAATAACTAAGTTTTTTTACATTGGCAAACTGTGAGAAGAAAAGGAGGGAGAGTTGTTGGTGTTCTGCGTTGCTAGCCTACCGGCATGTCAAAGATCCTTTTCTGTGTGGTGTCAGCTTGTGCAGGTCGGCGGGCCGCGGGAGCTAACACTCTCCTACCGCCCTCCTATCTTGCCCCAGGAGGATCTTTTTTTACTCTCCCTCCAGATTCAGCTTGTTTTTTCTACTCTTCCTTTTGTGCCAACCTCCTCCTTAGTCCTTTACCAGTAGATATCTCTGTAGTTTGTGCATTTATTGCATTTTCATTTGAATCCTGCCACCTTCAAATGCAAAGTGTCAAAGCCATGCTCGGAGTGATTCGGTTTCACATTCACATTCAGTGCTAAGATCCAGCATCCCAGATCCTCGAACAGCCTTTAAAAGTCACATCACAGGTGCATAAGTTGGTGTCAAGGTTAAGGCAAGGTTGTTTTTCACTATACATCAGTATAATGTTAGAAGCAGTTCTACTAATGGCCTTTTATGGGTTTCTAAGGAGAGTTGAATATATAACTAGATCTATCTCCTTTAACTGCACCGTAGTATGATCTCACCTTCTCTGATTTAATCATCTAAAGATCACAGGTACACAATGTTCCTGAAACACTCAATCTTGCCAAGGCACTCAAAATAACATTGCTAAGACTAACATTAC